AGATAAAACCAAAGACAGAAATATTGAGGCATCCCCAAACCCTACACACACACACAAAAGCAAAAGATACTATGTAAATTTTAAAAATGTTAAAATATTAGAAAATTCCTTGACATCTACTTCTACTCTAAAATATCCCAACTTTAGGTTTAGAGTTGTTTTTTCCCCTCATTCAATTATTTTATTCATGCAACAAATATTAAAGAGGTGTTTATTATGTACCAGGCACGCAATGGATACAAATGAAAATAGAGATAATCAAGGCCCATGCCTTCATGACTTAGAATACTGTTGACAGGGTGAGATCGGGGGAAGTGTTGAAAGGAGAAGACAGCTAAGAAATTAGTAAGCATGTTAAAAATGGGTTTTAATGATAATTTCAAATAGTCAAAAGTGCTATGCAGTAAATATGGTAATACTTTCAAGCCAGAGTCCACCATGAACACATTATAGTTTAACAGTTGAGTTTTTCTCTCATTTAAGGAGGGAAAAACACACACTGTGGCGAACTATAGTATGTGTCAGTAAGGGGATGTTAGAAAGAACTAATTTATAGGATTTGGGCTTTGGGTGGGTGATTTGAGAGAGGGTCTAAGAAAGCAGGGATGTATTGTAGATTGGATGCTATCAGAGACCAGAAGCAATTCTAGGATTGGGTATCCTTTTTTTAAATTTTATTTTTAATTCACGAATAATATTGTATATATTTATGGGGTACAACGTGATATTTTTTATATATTTACATTGTAGAATGATTAGATCAAGCTAATTTAAAAATCCATCACCTCACATACTTATCTTGCTTTTGTGGTAAAAATATTTAAAATCTACTCTTTAAGCAATTTTGATGCATGCAATGCATTATTATTTATTACAGTCACCATTCTATGCAATAGATAACTAAAGCTTATTCCTCCTGTCTAGCTGAAACTTTGTACTCTTTCATCAGTATCTTCCCTTTCCCCATCCACTACCCTCCCCTAGCATCTGGTAAAACCACCATCCCTCTCTCTACTTTTATTAGTTCAACTATTTAGATTCCATATAAGAAATCATATGGTGTTTGTCTTTCTGTCCCTGGCTTATTTCATTTGCATAACGTCCTCCAGTTCCATCCATGTTGCACAAATGACAGACTCTCCTTCTTTTTTAAGGAGGAATAGTATTCCATCGTGTATATATACACCACACTGTCTTCATCCAATAATGGACACCTGTGTTGCTTCCTCACCGTAGCTATTGTGAATAACGGTGCAACGACCGTGGGAGTGCAGATATCTCTTCACCATACTGATTTCAGTTCCTTTGTGTATATACCCAGAAGTGAGAGTGACGGATTATATAGTAATTCTATTTCAGTTTTCTGAAAAACCTTCATAATAGTTTTTTTAATAGCTGTATTAATTTACATTCCCACCAACAATGCACAAGGTTTCCCTTTTCTCCACACTCTTGCTAACACTTGTTATCTTTCATCTTTTTGATAGTAGCCATTCTATCAGGTGTGAGGTGATATCTCTATATGGTTTTAATTTGAATTTTCCTGATAATTAGTGATGATGAGCATTTTTTCATATATCCATTGGCCATTTGTATATCTTCTTTTGAGAA